AGGACCACAGTCGATGGAGCAGGAGAGAGAGTCCTGCGAGAGGAAGCTGCTAGTGGGAAGCAATAAGTGCAGAGTGCAAGCCAGCAAGCTGAGAGTCACAGGGGTCTAGAAATCAAAATTGTAGCAGGTCCCATGGCGTAATAGGCACCACTCAGGACTTTAAATCCTGGAATCTGAGTTCAAATTTCAGGGGGACCTTCTGGAGATATGTTGGTTTGCTACAAAGCCTTGGAGCTCGATGTGCTTAGCTACCCTGTCTCGGGGTAAAGTAGAGTGAGGTTTTTTTCCCCTCCTGCTGGGTGACTGATGCTCACTGGAGATAGGTCTTTGGTCCAGCTGGTTCAACAGGATGGCCACTATAGGTTGGGGTCCTAGAACTTAACAGTCTGGCTAGAGATTCCTGCGGATTGACCATATGGTTGTTTTTCTCGCTGCTTCACCTGATGTCCACAACTTTAGTCCCTGTACCTGCAGCTGCCACCCTCTTCCCCTTGCCCACATGGCATTTAAAGGAAGCAGTGCCAGGGCCAGGCTTAATAGGCAGGGATAGGCAGGAGGGAGGAAGAGTCCCAGGCTGGAGCCCAGCACACCTTTCCTCCTCTGGGCATCTAGAGCAGAGGCGGCTGGTGCTAACAGCTCCAAGGGAAGGCTTAAAAGCCACAGAGCAATTGAGGGCAGGACAAGAGGAGGGGAGGACCATGCCTATGTGTGGCCAGCAGAGGGCTACAAAGACACCTGGACAGCCTGCTCCCTGCCATGCCAAACCTGCACTGAAAGCCACCTGCAGTCTAGCATGCGGGCGGCTGCTGATGCTCTGTGGCCAACATCAGAAGACTGTAGGAAAGCAGGGCCAGCCCCCCGGTGGGGCATCTGACCATTCATACTCCAGGTGCTCACTTTTGCAGTGGGGCAGGAGATATTCCCCAAGAGGCTTTTCCTCAGCTGACGAGAAGCAGAGAAACACCCAGGCTCCCAAGGCGCTATTTAGCACAGGGACAGGCGCACATTTGGAAGAGGGAAACTGCTCTACATGCTAGTCCGGGGATCTGCCCATTTTCTTTGGCAAGTCAGGAATGGCAAAGGCTAGACTGGAAGCACGTGGGGCTCATGCCCCAGCCTTTGTCACGCCCAACCCCTAATTCCTTCCCGGGGCTCTAGCTGAAGCCAGAACATTGCCCTGAGCGGCCAAGAAGAGGCTCTAGCCCTGAAGGGAGCAGGACTTTCAGCACAAAGGTAAAACTGCACAAAAACAACGGGACTCAAACCCTCAATCGTCTGATCTGAAGTCAGATACCTTATCCATTAGGCCATGTGAGAAAAGCCTTTTCAGGTACTTGTTGAGAAAAGGCGGACACTATGTTTCTAAGGTCATCTACTGAGGGGGGCCAGAGACTCTCTGGGCACAAGAAGTCGAGTTCCCAGCGAGATGTGAAACTTAATTCTCTGGAGCCAGGTGCAGGACTTTGTCAGGGAGGCTTAGGCTTGGGGGATTGGGGTGCAGCGGACGGACCGGCTGTCTAGGTGCGGAGATTTAATGACACTGAGGCACAGGAAGGAGGAGGAGGAGGAATCCTGCTGATGGGCAGTGGCTGTGCAGAAAAAGAGGAGGGGTTCCAGGGACTTTTTTTGCCTCTCTTTTGCCTACCTGCTCGCTTTGGTGGTGAAAGGGGAAGATGCTTTCAATAAGCCTGGCTAGTTCAGTTGGTAGAGTGTTAGGTTCTTAATCTAATGGTCCAGGGTTCAAGCCCCTGCCTGAGCACTTAGCTTTTAAGTTGCCTTGTGTACCAGGAACCAAATGATTTTTGGTGCTGTCCACCAGCCACACACGGATTCCCAGAAGCCGTGGCCATTTCCTGGAAAGGTTCCTTTCCTCAGGAATCAGGAGAGAGGCCACATCCACAGGAGCAGGTGTAGAACGCGCAGTATCTGGCTGCCAGGAAGTGCTGTGGGGCCAGGTGCTGAGAAAGCCCAGAGGGAGAGCAGCAGAGATGGGTGGGGGAGCGAGAGGGAGCAGCTGCAGAGATGCAATGAGTACAGAGTGCAAGTGTAAAGGGGGGGTTCTGGTCCTGCTATTGTGGGGATCTCCCCTGGCTTGTACATGACCCCGGTGGAATCGGCTAGTGAAAGGATCTGAGTCCCCACTCCCTTACCCAGAGGCCTGCCTGACCTCGAGGAC